TGGAGCAAAATCCAGAAAATTATTACCAACTGCTATACTTCACAAACCTATACAAAAAATAATTAGGAAAACTCAGAAGAAAAAGAGCGATTCCTAGATACACATGAATTAGTAAAATTGAACCAAGAAAACTTAAAAACCTTGAATAATCCAATAACAGGCAATGAATCCAACCAAAAAAGAGAACCAGCAGCCAGTGTCTCTAGTGCACATAGATACAAAAATCCTGAACAAGATACTAGCAAACAAAATGCAGTGAATCATCTCAAAGATCATATACCATAACTAATTAGTCTCAGTGATGCAAGGATGGTGCAACACATGCAAGTCAATAAATATAATCATGTAAACAGAAGGACAAAAAGCACACAATCACCTCGATGGACACAGAAAAAGCATTTGACAATTGATCCATTCATGATAAAAACTCTGAAGAAAACAGGTTATAGAAGGACTTTATCTCAAAAGTCATACATGATAAACCTACCACAAACATTGTATTAAATGGGGAAAAGCTGAAAGCTTTCTAAAATTAGAAACAAGACAAGGATGTCCACTATAACCACCCCTGTTTAACATAGCCCCTAAAACATTAGCCAGAATAGTCAGGCAAGAGAAAGAGAAGGGATAAATATAGGAAAGAAAGAAGTCAAAGAATCAATATTTGCAGATCACATAATTCTCTACTTATAAGACCCCCCCAAATTCCACTAAAAGACTCCTAGAATGACAAAATTCAGCAGTGTAGCAATATACAAAATCACATAAAAATCAATAGCATTCCTATACACTAATACTGAACTCACTGAGGAATTAGGAAAACAGTACTATTCACAGTAACATAAAGAATAATTGAAAAATTAGGAATTAACCTAACCAAGGAAGTGAAGATCTCAACAACAAAAATTACATCACTCTGAAAAAGATTAAAGAGGGCATAAGAAAATGGAAGATATTCCATGTTCGTAGATAGGCAGAACTAATATAGTCAAAGTGGCTGTACTTCCAAAACATACATAGATTTAAAGCAATCTCAATAAAAATATCAACAGCATTCCTCACAAATCTAGAGAAAACAACCCAAAAATTCATATGGAAGCAGAAGCAATTCTGGGTGACCAATAGCAAAGCAAGAGACATTACAATCCCACATTTGAAGTTATATTACAAAGCTACAGTGATAAAACAGCATGATACTGGCACAAAAACAGAAATGTGGATCAGTGGCACAAAATGGAAGCAGAAACAATCTTTGACACATTCAACTATGATCTTCAACAATGGGCCCAAAAACACACTGGAGGAAATAGACTCTTTAATAAATTGTGCTGAGAAAATTGGATATCCACAGGCATAAGACCAAGTCTAGACCTATATATCTCATCAAATACTAAACTAAGATAAAAGTGGATCAAAGATCTAAATGTTAAATACATAATCTGCTAGAAGATAGAATAGGTACAACTCTTCAATGCATAGATGTATGCGAGGACTTTTTGAATAAAACCCCAATGGCACAGAAATAATACTGAGAAACCAATGAATGGAGTCATATCAAATTAAAAGCCTTCTACACAGCAAAGGAAACAACCAAAAGAGTGAAAAGACAACCTACAGAACAGGGAAAAAATGTTGCCAGTTATTGTTCAGACAGAAGACTAACATCTAGAGTGTATATATAAAAAAAAATCAGACACCCTCCATATAAAAAACCTAATAAAAAAATGGACATGTGAAATGAATAGACACTTCACAGTAGAAGACATATAGATGGCAAATAAATATATGGTAAAATGTTCAACACCACTGACCTTTTGAGAAACACAGATACCATCTTACTCTAGAAAGAATTGCTATCATCAAGAAATAAAATACATGCTTTCAAGGCTGTGGCGGGGGAAGGAACCCTTCCACATTGCTGTTGGAAATGTAAACTACTATAATCACAAGGGAGATTCCTCAAAAACCTAAAATAGAAATTTCATATGATGTAGTTATTCCCTTTCTAGGAATCTTCCTAAGAAAGTTCAAGACGTCAGGGGCTGGGGATTTGGCTCGGTGGTTCTGCAGTCTGCCTGGCAAGTGCAAGGGCCTGAGTATGATTCCTGGTACAAAAAAAAAAAAGTTAAAGGCATCATATTATAATGATACATACATGCCCATGTTTATGGCAACATAATTCTTAATAGCTAAGCATTAGAAACAGGCTGTATGTCCATCAATAGGTAAAATGTAGTCTTTATGCACAATGGAATATTATGCTCTCATAAAGAATAAATTTGAGTCATTTGTAGGCAAATGGATGCACTGTCAGACCATAATGCTAAGAGAAATAAATCTGACACACAAGTTTAAATATATGGTTTGTCTTATCTGAGAAATTTAAAATATAAAGAGAAAAATAAAGGATAGATAATAGGAAGTAGGGAGATTTTTTTCAAATGGGGAGGTGAACAAGAGATGGAAGGTGCAGGGAAGGAAAGGAAAAAGGATTACAAAAAGAATCAAAGAAAAAAATGGAATTAGAACTTTATTAAATGGAAAGAGGATTGTTATGGCTTGTATTGAGATGTGCTCCAAAGCCTCATGTGCTTATATGTGAAGTTTTGGGGAGAGGTCTGGATCACGGGTGTGTGATGTTGGATCAGGGTGTGTGACAAATAAATTGGTCTAGCGTAGCTCTGGGTATGGATGATGGGAAGGCCCACATTGGATACTGTGGGGCGTACTATCTAGTAGGTTTTTACTCTACATGGGATAAAAGTCCAGAAGGCTTCATTGCTTGCTGCCTTCTGCTTTACCCTTCCATGGACTGTTTTTCTTCTTCCAGGCCTCTGTTATGCTTCTCTGCCTTGGAGCTAGCCAATATGGACTGAAACCTCTACAAACTGTAAGCTGAAATAAATCTTTCCTCCTTTAATTCATGGGTGTCAGGTATTTTGTCTCAGCAACAAGAAAAGTAATAGGGATCAAGAGTTGAAGAGAGCAGGAAGTGTTGGGGGAAGGAGACCAAAACAAAATTAAGATGTGTTATGTAAGTGTACAATTTGCACATGATAAATGTAAATAATTATCTAATGTAAACATGTACTAACAAAAACGCGTAATTAAAAAGGTGAAAAGAAGAAATAAGAAAAATAAATAAACCAGTTTTATATGCAACTGAAAAATGAAAGTGCTCACCAGTAGGATGCTACCTGTGATGGTCTCCAGGCTAGAGAAGTGCAGCAGGCCACATTGGCAGAGATGGGTCTGGCAGCAGCCCTTCCAGTAAAGTATAGAAAAGGTCGTGTGCTTGGTTCACAGTGGTGGCCAACAGTTCCACTAATGAGCCAGATAGGGCCTTGATACCAGAACCTGTGAGAAGAAACCATCCTTTCGAAACAATTTTCATTAATAAAGTTAAAGACAGAGCCCTCTGGATGCTCCAGTCTCCCTCTGCTCACCCTGTTCCTTCCTATGCTTTATTAAGGATTAAATTTTGGAAAGAAACCACACCCTTCATGGTTGGGCTGGTTGAGAAATGTCTGAATAGTTGCTTTTCTGGCCATCAGGAAGCCTGTGAGGGCTTGGTATAGAGGACTCTTCTTTGAAAGCATTGTGGAACAGAGGGCCTCTCCCACACAGCTTGGTCAGACACAGCTTGGTATTTGTGCAGTATCTTGCTTTAGTGTGGAATGGTTGACCTAGTAAGATGACAACAAAGGTCAGCATCATAGGTGAAAAACCTGGGTATATCAAGAAGACAGATTCCATAAAATTGCAGTGGTGAGACCTGGTCAAAAATATCACGATATTTTTCTGTGGAATCTACTTACTGGAAATGGTGGGGTGCTGCCACCTGCTGGATGAGTACAAGAAATTCAGAGAGAGGATTGGACTGGATAGGGTCTGGAATACTCCAGTTTGAGCAGGCTGTGAAAGTGGGCCCAGAGCAAGTAGAGCTGTGTGGCATAGAGATACTGAGAGGCTCCCACAGAGCTCCAGAGCTCCGCAGGAATTTCTAATAGGAGCCTGACCCTGGCAGCCATGCTTTGCAACTTCTCCAGGATCTGTTGCTATGGCTGCAGGGAAGGGGGTAATAAAGAAGAACAAACAAAAGCAAGGTCAGCATTTTGCCGGCCCTGGGAGAGGCCGGGATATTTCCGGATTTAAAACTTTGAAAGCCAGTTCAATTCAGTTTAGCAAGGAGTTGAAGTCTGATGTAATCCTTCGTCTCACCACCTGGTTATCAATGTTCCTTTTTATTTATTTATTTGTATTTATTGGCCATCCTAATAACCCAGGACCTTCACACTGAGCTACATCTCCGCCCGCCCTCTTTTGGAGTCCATACTGTATGTTGCTCAGGCTGTGATCATCGTGCTTCAGTCTCCCAGTGTGCTGGGAAGGTGCCCCACCTCTCCCAGCTACAAGCGATCTCTTGACAGCCCTTCCTTTTGATGTCTTGAAGGCAGGGAGCATTGTGGGCCACCTCTCCTAGTAAGAATTCTCTTTCCTTTCTCATGTTCAGCCTTACTACTTTTGTCCTATTTTCCTGAGAGCTTCTTAACTGTCCTTCAGTAGCTCTACAAAATCTTTACCTTCAATCCTCTCATCTTCAACTACCTTTGGAGCCATCCGTTCATGGAGGGTTACTGCCTTAGAAAAGGCTGGCAGGATCTGCTTGGGCCTTTTTATTGTCCCCCTTTCTACCATGTGAAAATGCTGCAGGAAGGCTTTCATCACACACCAAATGCCACTGCCTTGATTTTGGACTTCCCAGACCGCAGGATTAAGATTTTTAAAAGATCAATGAATTATCTAATCTCAGGGTTTTTTTTTAAAGCAACATAAACTGACTAAAACAGCCATATTCCAAATCTCATCCGTCCTTAAGATCTTTCCACCCAGAGGAAGAAAGTGCCTTTCTTCACAGCTCATATGAAAAATGGATACAATTAGTTTGGAAATTAATCATTTATCCAAAAATATTTCCTATAGCTATTCTATATTACTTTTGTATTTCTTGTCAACTTTCCCTGGATTTACATCCTTGACTCTATCAGTAGGATGAACCAGAGCAGGAATTAGGGGACTTCTGCTTTTTTGTGAATTGCACAGAGAAGGTACTCAAATTCCAGCGGGAGGGGATTGACTAAAAACTGGAGATACAACAGTGAAAATCAACAGGTTTCTAAAATTAGGCATAACACAAGTTAGTCTTTTCATGAGCCTGGAAGTATGTTCAGTTATAGCAATATTTAGCCATATGCAAGGGGACATATACTCACTACATAGCCTGGGGGAGGGATGTGGTCATTCATTTCAAAATTTTCCAAGGGGTTTCCATTATTGTGTTACTGCACTCATTGGCCTAGATTTTTTTGTAGCTCAGGTAGCTCGAGAAGGTCCCACGTGGGAGCTAGAGGTACTTTTGCAATTTCCTCTTCTGGGTCACAGTAAGTTGTCAAGGTTAAGCACAAATACTTCCTATATCTGTTTCATCTCCATGCCCTTCACTCTGTTCATCCCTAGGTCAACATTCTTCAGGGAGGCCAGAGGCTGCTCTGTATTTATTGTAACCCCATCCTTCCTAGTCATTAGTATTTGTGGAAAGGAGACAGGGAGACCTGAAGTGGAAGAGCCCTAGCTCCCTACCCTGAACGTGTTCACGTACTCAAAGGTCAGGGCCTGGAGCCTGGTGCACCCCAACTCCCCAAGGCTGGTAATCCTCTGGGCGTTTTCTGCATTAACAGGGAGCCCGACTGTGGTGAGCAGATTGGAGCCGGAAGTCAGCGCCAGCTCCAGAAGACAGTGTGGACGACGTCGCGAAGGGACCAGCAGCCCGAGGAAGGCCGGCTGGTGCTGCTCTTTCTGCCTGCGGGTAAATGACAAGTCAGGCCGCCTGCCTGCTGGTCAAGGCCTGGGATTCTTAGGGCTTTACTGTACACACGTAGTCGGGTTACTCACTGCATCTAGCCACCAGCGGTCTGATTTTCATTCTTCCTTTGAATGCCGGCGTCTCCTCCTGTGCCACCCAAAAGACAGGATGGGGCCTATTCCCTTATGGTCCTGTGATTTCACTGTCAGTAGGTCCCTTTTCTTCTTGAATCTCCAGCCAGTGCCCCGCTGTTCACTCCTCCGGGGAGCCTCTCTGTCAGTCCTTCTAGATACTCTTTTTTTGGGTACCAGGGGTCAAACTCAGGTGCAGGTGCTTTTGAGGTCAGCGGCAGCACCACTGAGCTAAATCCCCGGCCCCTAAATACTCTTGATCTCTAGAGTATTTAGACAGCTGCAAAGCTAGTACTCTAGAGCTTAGACCTTGGTAAGGACAAATTTTATTTATTGTCCTTTGCCGTGCACCGTCTCCTAACCCTAAAAGAACATCCATCAGCCTTAAATAAGTACAAAAGGGAAAGTTTATTGAAGGATATGCGCATACAGAAAAGAAAGAGGACAAAGAAAGAGGGGAGTCCTGTAACAGCAAGAGGGACTCTATCCAGGAAATTACCCTTAGGCTGTCTGGCAACAACACCGGAATGTTGGAGGAATTAGGTCCATCACTTGCAACACAGCACGGGTCTTTTCAGCAGTCCCTCCGGCTACATGTTTCAATCCCGGACTTAAGACAGCAGCAGCCGCCTGGGCTAGGCCAGCTGTTTATATAGCTCTCTAGACAAAGTTAGTAAACTACCTGTACTTTTGGCGCGAAAAAAAATTGAATGTGCTTGCAGTCACGTCCCAACCGGGCCCTGGCCAGAGATCCAGGAGGGACGGAATGTATCACATTCCTTATCTTGATGTTAAGAACATCTGTTCTTTATAACAAAGTCCTCCCTCTTTTTTCCCAGGGAACTGGCCAGGTACCCAGGGAAAGAAGAGGTGAACTAGTGGTTACGCACCTTAGAGAGCCGAAAGCCTTAACCCAAGCCTTTCCAACTCAAAGTTTTAACTTTCCTTACAGACCTCAACTATGGAAATAATAGTCTGCATCTATTAAAGCCTTTTAGACTAATTAGTGAAAAGTGACAGTATTCAGTAGGAGAGGCTATCAGTAAGGATGCTCTGGACAGGTAACAGTCTTTGGAAAAACAAACATAAGCAATGTAACATGAAGCTAAGAGAGGTCAGAGTGGGAACTGACCAGAGACAGGTAACTGTCACTTACAGTTGTCAGAAAAGCCACAAAATGAAACCTACATAAAAAGAGAAAAGCCACAAAATTACTGACAGCGCAGAAGAATCTAGAACAGCTATTTACTTGACAATTCACAAAAGAGAACCAGGACTTTGGGGCTCAGGCCACAACTCAGGACACCTTCACCTTTCCTTGTAGGAAGTCAAAGCACCCCTACCTATTCATGTCTGTCAGAGCTTCAGATGAAAGAAATGAGATCATCAGTGACATACTTGCTGGTGGAACCTGACTGAGGCTCGGATCCCGATTCCTGGGGTCAGTGTTCTATTATCCACCTGGTGGCTCAGACCCCAAGCCTACCATCCTATGATAATGGTGTCACTTCCTGATCTTGAATATTCTTCATTGACACCAAGAACCAAACAGAAGACAGGTGTGGCTTCAAGGAGAACTACCTTGAGAGGAACAAAAAGAGAACTTGGGCAATGCTCTGAAGGGGCTCTTCAACATCACTAGAGGAAGGTAACACTTGCCTCTTCGGAAACCCCAAGTCACAAAAGTCTCTCTCTACCCTCAGGCATTGATTTCCCCCCTCTGGGCCTTCCAGATTGAAAAAAAAAATGAAAAAAAAAAAAAAGCAATCTTCTATACTGTCACTCTTTAAACTCATTTTAATCCTAGAACAATCTGGGGAGAGATGGTCATTCCTATTTGATAGAAGGTAAAAATCGGGATCCACAGAGACAGGCCTCATGTAAGAGATAGAATTCTCTGGTTTCCTTATTCTTTTATTAGATCAAATCACCCCAGGTATTAGGCTTGAAAATTTTCAAGAAAACTGTATCTCACTGCCACTTTAGAGGTATTCAGCAGTTCCATTTTATTGAATAAGGCCTGAAAGTACAGGCACAGTCCTCCTGGTCAGCTTTATAATTCTGACTAGTGAGCCCAGGTCTTTCCCATATTACCTAAGTTAAAGAGTTGTCCTTTCTTAAATGTCCCAACATACAGGAAGGGATTGTCCTGGTTGTTTTTACACTGCTTGTTACTCTGTACACAGAATGTCCAATTTCACTTCCCCGAGACGGAAGAAGAAAGGGAGAATGACTTTCAGCAGGCTTACATTCAATGAAGAGAGGGATAACATGACTTCCCTGCTCTCAAAACACTCAATCCAGCAGTAAATGGCCACTGCTTTGCTTTAGAGATTTCTCAGATACTCCTCACAGCCTCCTCATACCCTCCACTATCTGAATTAGGTATCTGGCTGGTCAGAACAACAATTTTACATTTCTGGCAACCAGATGCTATACCAATTAATGAGTCATGTCATTTCAGGTGGGAAAAAAAAAGAGACAAAATTATCCTCTGATTGAGAAAGACAGCTGATCTTTCAGATGTGAGTACTGAATGAGTAAAATGTAGCCCTTTCCATCTCAAGAAAGTTGAATTTGTGGACAATGTCCTAGAAGCAGTAGGATGCCAGGCGAAGGGAGATGGGGCCTTCTAAGGAATAGCTACAAATGAAATGTGCTGGATAGTGGGAAAATTCTAGGGTGTGATTCCCAGACCAATGACTAGCGGGTGCAGGCAGAACTGTGAAGTGGGTGAACGCCAATAACAGCCATCTTTCCATCCATTAACATTCATTTCCCCAAATGTTTCCCCGATACTGTAGTATTCTAAAGAATAGGAGGAGCCCATGAAGGGCATTGCATTAAGAGAATTGCATTCAGCTTCTGAAGAATGAAGACCACAGTGGCAGACAATGGATCCTCTTGGAGCCCTTGAAAATTGCTGTCATGCTTGCAGGTGTGTCTCTGTGGTAGATCTCTTGCTTACCATGTGAGACAACCTGGCCTTCATTCCCAAAACTGAAACAAAATTTTAATTTAAAATTTTAAAAATGCCCAATAGCTGACCCTTCTGAAGCCAGATGGTCAGAATTTAGAGGAAATGTGCACCAAGTCCCTAGGAGATTATTAATGTTCAGCATGGGACCCAGGTCCCTGAGGAACATGCCTCTGCCTCAGCTACTGTGAGACACTTTGGCTTCCTGTGCTCATGGAACCTGAATGGTAACAACTCAATGATCCAGCACCTACAAAAAGAAGAAGCCATTTAACATCTCTTTCCCTCTAGGTCCCACTCATCTGTATGCTTCACAACATGTGGTATGTCTTGGCCACTCACTGTGACCTCTGTGTTGGTCATTGAGACTGATCTGCAATCAGTTCTGACAGAGAGGAGCACTGGAAGAAGATCCTTCATAGCTGCCAGGACAAAACCACAGGGTCCTGCTTCTGTGATCACAGACAACTTCACTCAGTGGCACTCCCTGGGGTTCCCTAGGGCCAGATCACCAGGCAAGGGGAAGGAATGATTTTCATTGGCCCAGGCTGAGTGAGGTGGATGAGTAGCCTTCTCTCACCTTCCATATATTGGAGTGGCACCCACCATTCCAGCGGCCTCCACAAGTGATTTAATATGAACACCAGACAATCTGGGGACCAGACACCCGAAACACCTCTGACTCAAGAGTGAGTGTGTAGGGTGGACCTCTTCTGCTCCGTTCCATACACCACCTGAGGACCTGCACACACAGTCATATTTCCTCTTCTCTAAACGCCTGGGTCTGAACCAGCACCTGGACTTGGCTGTGGAGGGGTAGCTGGTAGGGGCTCTTTGCTAAGGTCCCAGGGTGAGAGGGAGCCTGGTCAAGGAAATGGGCAGAGAATTGGGGTGAATTAAGTGTTGCCATGGGGCCAGCAGAGGACAGGATGCGGAGATCTTATTGTTAGACCGGAGAGGTGGTAGGAACCAAAGCTACAAGAGTCAGGAATGAGTGTGTCCTGAGATTGTTAAGAGCAGAAAAGAATTATTATATGAAGAGCCAGGAAGTTGGGGGCCAAATCTGTGAGGACAAGAAGCCATACTCTGAATCCCCACTCTGCTGCCAAGGAACTTAGTGGTTCAACTTTAGTGACACCATGACTTCCATTGACTGCAGGAGTTTTAGGGAGGATTTTAGGAAGCTCTGAGAAGCCAGGAGACAGGATATTTTAGGAGTCAGTGGCTTTTGAACATTGGTCTTTGAACTTGGGAGGAGTGGTCTTTACTTGATCTTTCCCAGAAGAATTTCTTCAGAAATGTGTTGGTGGAAACCATCAGAAAGCTGGCTTGTAGAAAAGACAAATAGAAAAATCAGAACACAATTAGTCCAAAAATTCAGGGTGAAATCTGAGAAGTTATATGAAAGAGAGACTGCAAAATCAAAGAAAGTAGTCAGCATAGAGAAGCTGTCATGTGGATTCCAAATCTTTTTTTTTTTTTTTTTTTTT